GCCTGTGTGTGTGTGTGTGTGTGTGTTATTTCCTGGGTCGTGGGCCTTTCCCATAATTCCTCCCGAGTCTCTTGTGTTGGCTTATTGCTTTGTTTTCCTCCCTCTCGCTGGTTTCTGTGTTTATTAGCACATGAGCTCCTCGGAGGCTCCGAGCACCACAGAAGCAGCCAGATCATTTCAGCCCTTTATTTGTGTTTGGAGAACTGACAGCAGCTGATCGTTCGCTCTGTTTACTCACTTCATGCACATTTCTGCTCTTATTCTGATCCGTTCATCAGTGCATGTTTATGCGAGTAAAAAGTTTGTGTATTGCTGAATTTTTTTAAGCAAACAAATAATGTGATGACTGTGAAATATATCACTCTGTATATTGAAAACAACATGTTTCTGTGTTTATGGATGAGCAATTATTTTCATGAAAATAGCAGTTTGGTTAGTGATTTATATGTAATTCATAAAGCAAACTTTCCATTTCACCATTTTAAAATATATTATTATTATTATTTTTATTATTATTATTATTGTGCTCTGTACTTTATAAAGCAAATCTTCCATTTAACATTTTTTAAATAAAATTTATATATTTTTTCTTTACCTGATAGAGTGTAGTATTTTAATAAGTATCACATATTTTACATGTTTTTTTTTTTACCTTTCTGCTGCATATCAACATTTCTTCATATTTTAAATATGCATATTTGTCAGATATTTCTATGGTTAACTGGTATACTACAAGTAAAGATAAAACCATAAAAAAACCTTCAAATAGTTTAGATAGATAGATAGATAGATAGATAGAAAATTTTGCCTTGATTCTGAGGAAAAATATTCATTTACATTAACTTGTAATAAAATAACTAAAACAATTTAAATAATAAAAAAAACTAAATAGACATATTTTGCAAAATAAATAAAGAAATAATAAAAAATGACAAAAAATACAATTAAAATTACTAAAACTTCAAAACTTTAAAATGAATATGGAAAATATAAAATATAAAATAAAATAAAAAATATTTGATCAAATATAACAGTATCCTCATGATGCTAAAGTAACTCTGGTGTGGACGTTTTCTGCTCATTGTACAGGTGTGAAGTGTAGGGTGTTGTTACCATAGAAACCTGTGGTGGTTTATTTAATTTTCAGATGTAGAGTTGAAGGTGTAGTTACCATAGCAACATGTCTGGCATAATAGCAGTAGGCAGTGAAAACATATTTTGCCTTAGAACCTCTAGTAATAATAATCATGGCAAAAAACAAGAGGGTTTCTAGCACTCTTTGGACTCATAATAATAAAAATATGAATTAAATTAAAATATTCCTTGAATCCCTAACAATGCAGACAGTACGGCTTCGCTCTTGAGCATCTAATAATGCTTCTGGAGAAGGTTTCCAAGGTTAAACTCAAGCTGTTGTGCTTTTTGAGAAGAGTTTACTTTGACAGAAGAAATTCAGCAGTCAATTTGATATAAAGAAGAGAAATGTCTGCATTAGAGCCAGCAGATCTTTATAGAATTGTGTGATTTTTTTTAAATTTTTATATCAGCATGAGGTCACTTTCTTCAGGACGCTGCTTGGTTGATTTTCATTTAAGCAATTTGCTGCTAGATAATGTGTTACTATGTATATTTATAATGATGATCATTATTACAGGAAATATCATTTGAAGTCAGTATGTTCTGGTATAAATGCCATTTGTTGTGTTCTAACTCTATTTTCTCTTCTGATTTCAGAATCTTCCTCCTCAGGAAACGTTTTAATGGACACAACAACGACACGCACCACGACTCGCCCGGTCACCGTCACCTTGACGACCCCCTCCACCTCCACCACCGTCACCATGACAACCACCACCACCAGATCTCCCGCCTCGACGACGGCAGCAGCCCCGCGCAGCACCACGACAGACCGGCAGCCGGCTGCTCTTCCCGAGGTCACGGCACGCTCCGACCCATCCTCCGTTCTGCCCAACATCGCCGTGGAGTTCTGCAGCCCCGTCACCGACTCCTCCATCACCTGGCCCAAAACACGCCAGGGCCTTGTCGCCAAGCAGCCCTGCCCACCGGGAACCGTCGGTAAGTTACAACAGTCCAGAGCAGCCATGTAGTGATTACGTTTACCAGCAGAGGGTGCTGATACAAGGATACGCTGGATTATTTTCACCAGCAGAGGGCGCTGATACAAGGATACGCTGGATTATTTTCACCAGCAGAGGGCAATATACACTGCTTACTTAGTTGAGCGCCAAAACTTAGGCAGGAAAAGAGTGTTATGCGCAACATACTTCCGTATTCTGTTAACCAGGTCTCGTCGCTTCCAGTTCAAGCGTTTTGCATATGCTTCGTTAAATATGAAGCAGTTGTACTCAAGATGTAGATACCAATGATGACCATAACCAATGTCCATCACATATGCGGAATGATTTCTAAAAGTTTTTTATTTTTATTTTTTTCACTAACATTTAGATATAAAAATTGAATATTGCACATCAACAATAAAAATAGCTAGCTAGTTTAACTGATTATCTTAAAAGTCCATAGATATCGCTATTATTTAATACGGCTGTTAACACGTTCTCCGACAGGCGGAAGCGATGAGACCTGTTTTCTGGGTTTGGTCAGGTGACGTTCGACATATACCCTATTATCTCATCAGTTTATCAAAAGTGACACCCAAGCTGAAATATCGTATTAATTATTAACATATTAACTATTTATGTTAAAGTAATACTGTTTGTTTGTTATGCAAGCAAGCATTTTTTGTTTCTGCCACGAGATAAAGAAATAAGGTAATTACAACTTAATATCGCTCAAAATAATTTTAAAATATAAACTCAAATTTGAGAAAAAAAAGTCAGAATTACGAGAAATAAACTAAGTAATTTTTTTCTCTGAATTGAGTTTGTATCTGACAATTATAAGAAAATCTGTGAGATACAATTATTCTGTTAACCAGGTCTCGTCGCTTCCAGTTCAAGCGTTTTGCATATGCTTCGTTAAATATGAAGCAGTTGTACTCAAGATGTAGATACCAATGATGACCATAACCAATGTCCATCACATATGCGGAATGATTTCTAAAAGTTTTTTATTTTTATTTTTTTCACTAACATTTAGATATAAAAATTGAATATTGCACATCAACAATAAAAATAGCTAGCTAGTTTAACTGATTATCTTAAAAGTCCATAGATATCGCTATTATTTAATACAGCTGTTAACACGTTCTCCGACAAGCGGAAGCGATGAGACCTGTTTTCTGGGTTTGGTCAGGTGACGTTCGACATATACCCTATTATCTCATCAGTTTATCAAAAGTGACACCCAAGCTGAAATATCTTATTAATTATTAACATATTAACTATTTATGTTAAAGTAATACTGTTTGTTTGTTATGCAAGCAAGCATTTTTTGTTTCTGCCACGAGATAAAGAAATAAGGTAATTACAACTTAATATCGCTCGCTCAAAATATAAAATATAAACTCAAATTTGAGAAAAAAAAGTCAGAATTACGAGAAATAAACTAAGTTATTTTTTTCTCTGAATTGAGTTTGTATCTCACAATTATAAGAAAATCTGTGAGATACAATATATATATATATATATATATATATATAAATTAGAGCAATGAAAAAGTCAGACCACTGAGTTTATTTTTGTAATTCTGATTTTTTTATTTTTATTTTGAGTTTATATTTCACAATTTTTCTTAGAATTCTGAGGACAAAAAAGTCAGATTTGCTATATATGAATTCAGAATTTTGAGAAATGCAAGATATAAAGTCAGAAATTGTGAGTTTATATTTGAGTTATTCTCAAAATTGTGAGAAAAAATTATGAATTGTGAGATATAAACTCAATTTTGAGAAAGAAAAGTCAGAATTGTGAGAAACTCAAAAAAAAAAAAACAGAGTCAGAATTGCGGGATAAACTTAATTAGAAATAAACCTAGATCTGTGAGATGAAAAAATTGGAATTTCAAGAAAGTTTTCATCTCAGAACTTATATCACGCATTTCTTTTTTTTTTTTTTTTCTTCAGAATTCTGAGAAAAATTAGGAGATATAAATTCAGAATTTTGAGGAAAATAGAACTGAGAAAAGCTCAGAATTGTGAGATGTAACTCAGAATTTATAGAAAAATAGTCAGAACTGTGAAAAATAAAGTCTGAGTTTATTTCTTGTAATTCTGACTTTTTCCTCAAAATTCTGAATTTATATCTCCTAATTTTTCTCAGAATTCTGAGGAAAAAGTCAGAATTACAAGAAATAAACTCAGACTTTATTTTTCACAGTTCTGACTATTTTTCTATAAATTCTGAGTTACATCTCACAATTCTGAGCTTTTCTCAGTTCTATTTTTTTTCTCAGAATTAATTTTGACTCGCAATTTTCTCTTTTTTCTAGCAATTTTGAATTTATATCTCACAAATCGGACTTTTTTCTCAGAATTCTGAGAAAAACTGAGATATAAACAGAAAGTCAGAATTGCAAGATAGAAACTCAAAGTCTGACTTTGAGAAAGAAAAGTCAGAATTGTGAGAAACTCAAAAAAAAAAACAGAGTCAGAATTGCGGGATAAACTTAATTAGAAATAAACCTAGATCTGTGAGATGAAAAAATTGGAATTTCAAGAAAGTTTTCATCTCAGAACTTATATCACGCATTTCTTTTTTTTTTTTTTTTTCCTCAGAATTCTGAGAAAATTAGGAGATATAAATTCAGAATTTTGAGGAAAATAGAACTGAGAAAAGCTCAGAATTGTGAGATGTAACTCAGAATTTATAGAAAAATAGTCAGAACTGTGAAAAATAAAGTCTGAGTTTATTTCTTGTAATTCTGACTTTTTCCTCAGAATTCTGAGAAAAATTAGGAGATATAAATTCAGAATTTTGAGGAAAAAGTCAGAATTACAAGAAATAAACTCAGACTTTATTTTTCACAGTTCTGACTATTTTTCTATAAATTCTGAGTTACATCTCACAATTCTGAGCTTTTCTCAGTTCTATTTTTTTTCTCAGAATTAATTTTGACTCGCAATTTTCTCTTTTTTCTAGCAATTTTGAATTTATATCTCACAAATCGGACTTTTTTCTCAGAATTCTGAGAAAAACTGAGATATAAACAGAAAGTCAGAATTGCAAGATAGAAACTCAAAGTCTGACTTACTTTCTCGCAAGTCCGAGTTTACATCTTGCAATTCTGAGTTTGTCTCACGTTTATCGTGCAATTCAAACTTTTTTCACGCAATTCTGAGTTTGTTTCTTGCAATTCTGACTTTTCTTTCTCAGAAGTGAGTTTGTATTGCAATTAATAATGCAATTTTTTATTTTTTTTACAATTCAGAGAATAACTGTGTGATATAAACTCAGAAGTCTGACTTTCTTTGTCGCAATTCTAACTTTGCATTTTGCAATTCTCTTATTTTGTTCCCAGCACAAAATGAAAAAAGATAAATATGTAATTGCAACTTTTTATCTCAATTCTGACTTTTTTCCCCCACGCAATTCTGCGTTTATTTCTTGCAAAAAAAGTCTGAATCATGATTTTTTTAAAAATATAAATTACATAGATTATTTTTTTTTTTACTCTCTGTGGCTGAAACAAGCTTCCATAGTTATTGTTGCCTATTATCTATGGGAGGTAGATCTTTCTCTGCTATGGCTCCCAAACTTTGGAACACATTGCCCCTGGCTCTCCGGACAATAACCACACTCCTGAAATGCCAAAATATCAGCCTAATTAGGAAAAGTACAGACCTGTTTCCAAAAGCACAAATATGAAATTACATTATAATAACATTATAATTACTGTATACAGTATACAGTTTGTGAAAATAAAAATTGTATACAATTAGAAAAAGTAAAAAAAAGAAAGTTTTATTTGTCATATGTTTATTTCACATATATTTATTTAGTTTTATATAATGGATTTTTTCTGACTTTTTCCTCAAAATTCTGAATTTATATCTCCTAATTTTTCTCAGAATTCTGAGGAAAAAGTCAGAATTACAAGAAATAAACTCAGACTTTATTTTTCACAGTTCTGACTATTTTTCTATAAATTCTGAGTTACATCTCACAATTCTGAGCTTTTCTCAGTTCTATTTTTTTTCTCAGAATTAATTTTGACTCGCAATTTTCTCTTTTTTCTAGCAATTTTGAATTTATATCTCACAAATCGGACTTTTTTCTCAGAATTCTGAGAAAAACTGAGATATAAACAGAAAGTCAGAATTGCAAGATAGAAACTCAAAGTCTGACTTACTTTCTCGCAAGTCCGAGTTTACATCTTGCAATTCTGAGTTTGTCTCACGTTTATCGTGCAATTCAAACTTTTTTCACGCAATTCTGAGTTTGTTTCTTGCAATTCTGACTTTTCTTTCTCAGAAGTGAGTTTGTATTGCAATTAATAATGCAATTTTTTATTTTTTTTACAATTCAGAGAATAACTGTGTGATATAAACTCAGAAGTCTGACTTTCTTTCTCGCAATTCTAACTTTGCATTTTGCAATTCTCTTATTTTGTTCCCAGCACAAAATGAAAAAAGATAAATATGTAATTGCAACTTTTTATCTCAATTCTGACTTTTTTCCCCCACGCAATTCTGCGTTTATTTCTTGCAAAAAAAGTCTGAATCATGATTTTTTTAAAAATATAAATTACATAGATTATTTTTTTTTTTACTCTCTGTGGCTGAAACAAGCTTCCATAGTTATTGTTGCCTATTATCTATGGGAGGTAGATCTTTCTCTGCTATGGCTCCCAAACTTTGGAACACATTGCCCCTGGCTCTCCGGACAATAACCACACTCCTGAAATGCCAAAATATCAGCCTAATTAGGAAAAGTACAGACCTGTTTCCAAAAGCACAAATATGAAATTACATTATAATAACATTATAATTACTGTATACAGTATACAGTTTGTGAAAATAAAAATTGTATACAATTAGAAAAAGTAAAAAAAAGAAAGTTTTATTTGTCATATGTTTATTTCACATATATTTATTTAGTTTTATATAATGGATTTTTTTACAAGTCATAATACAAGTCATAATTTTGTTATAATACTGTTTTGATCTGTTTGATCTTATTTTTTCGTAGTGTGATTATTGGTCCATTTTTATTATAACCAGTAACGGTCAGTTTGACCTGCTAACACAATTATTATCAATAATAATAATAATAATAATAATAATAATAATAATAATAATAAATTGTCATTGTTATTTGACCAAAAACATAAAACAAATATTTTCCTTGTTTTTAATTCATAGATATTAACACATGAGTTTTCATAGATATTTTGACCACTAAACTAGAAAACATCCCTGGTTTTCATTTCAGAAATCTGCTCTTAACCAAGAACATCCTAGCAACCGCATAGCGACGCATTGCCCATTTTCTACAGAGCAAATAAGCCCTCATCTCTACATGTTTAACAGCTGTTCTGGTAACCCAGGTGTGGTGTTTTTCTCTGTGGTTGTTAGTGAGTGTGTGGAAGTGCAGCAGACGAGCGACGCTCAGCGTGAACACAAACAACACAAACGCAGCACACGCATCAAACACGCTGCTGCAGCTCCCGCTCTTCTTTCACCTCTGTCTGTCACTCTCCTTCCTCTCGCTTTCGTTCTCTACATTTCAGCTTTTCACGTCGTTTCTCTTGCCGCCTCCTGCTCATATCAGAACACTTCCAGTCCTCCCGCCTGTTTCCATGGTTTCGGTTGATTGACAGTTTCTTCATGATTAGTTGGTTGTTCTTGAAGTTTTCAGAGCGCCAGACTGGATTCGTCCTCTGGCCATTTCTCAGAGTAACACTTTCACATTCACATCTTCATAAACTCATTCATCAAAACAACAGCAACCAAAATACTAGCATTTGATTGACAATTTTTTTTTTAATACCATATATATATATATATATATATATATATTGTTACAAAAAATTTTACAAAATATTTCTCTTTCAAATAAATGCTGCTACTTTGAACTTTCTATTCATCAAAGAATCCTGAAAAATACAATGTATCACGTTTTCCACAAAAACATTCATCAGCACAACTGTTTTCAACATTGATAATAATCAGAAATGTTTCTTGAGCAGCAAATCAGCATATTATAATGATTTCTGAAGATTATGTGACACTGAAGACTGGAGTAATGATGCCGAACATTTTAAAATGAAATTTTACAACATATATAGAAAACTGTTGTTTTAAATTGCAATAGTTCAGAAATCAGAAAATGCGTGTTGTCCATTGACAGTGTTGTTTTTGGTGAACTGAACTTGGTATATTTGGTAGATTTTTTCTTTTTTCTTTCTTTATTTTTTAAATGTGCTATTTTTACAGGGATTAATACAATAATGTGACATTATTTTTTATTAAAAAACATTTTCCCACATGCAGACTAATGGACTATATTATTTGGCAGAGACGGTGTTTATTTTGATTGTTATTATTGCATGTATGTGATTATTGAACATAGTCTCTCATCGCACTGCTGTTGTGTGTGTGTGTGTGTGTGTGTGTGTGTGTGTGTCTGCAGCAGTCGTACATCTGGAGTGTGTGTGTGTGTGAGTGTGCGAGTGTGTGAGTGTGTGTGGGAACGAACACACACACACACACACACACACACACACACACACATATCTCTGCATCTGGCTGTAGTTAGAGCTCACACACACACACACACGCTGCAGTGATTTTATCTCCATCAGAGGAAGTAATTACACATTCTTTTATGATCACAGACGTTTGAAAGCATTTCTCGTCATCTGTGGAAGCAGCAGTGAAGGATGTTGATGTGTGTGTGTGTGTGTTTGCGGTGTGATATGAACACACAGTAACGGCTGTTTTCTGTGTGCAGGGACGGCTGTGTTCACCTGTCAGGGGCCCGAGGGACTGTGGGACCAGCAGGGGCCCGACCTCAGCAACTGCACCTCCACATGGGTCAACATCATCAACCAGAAGGTTTGAGAAACACACAATCAAACATATGTATGGGATAATGTACATTTAGCCTCATTTTGACAAATTATTCAACAGTTGGAGCTGTCATTTGATTGGTCCAAGCCAGTGTTGTTATTGTTAACTGAAGCTTGTATTAAAGACCGGCAAGAAAGTTGTGAAATGTCCACACCAAATGCTGAAGAAGTTTGCTAATGGAAAATACTTTGTTGCGTCAGCTCAAAAATTATAATCTACAATTCCAACGACAGGAGAAGCTCGCACACATAAGAAATTACCAATTGCTTTTATTCATATTACATTTCGCCTTTGCACTGAGCATGTTGCACTTTTTTTTTTGCACTATTTTGTGAATTGGTGAAGTTCTGCCTTTACACTGAGCATATTGCACTTCTTTGTGAATCAGTAACGTTTTCTCTGCATTTTTTTTCACTTTTTTAATAAATGTTTACCTTGTTTTTTGG